TGAGATTCGTTCCGCCATTATTCTTTAAGGGAGGAACGGAAGGAAAATTTCTCCATGTTCGTTTACCAGGCACGGTCCAATGCCCCGCCGAAACCGAACGCGAGACGACGTGTGCTAGCATACGAATTACTGCTACGAACGGCATTCCCGCGGCTTTTCGACTCCGCCGTTAGCTGCTATCCACTGGCAAATCTAATGGCAGCGAACGCGAGCTGCTATTCTCGTTCTCCTGCTCTATTGCGCACATATAGATGATTCTGTGTTTGTCTCATTTACGATCGGAGGAGGTCGAGGTAGTTAGTGCACACAACGCAAATCAGCTAGAGAAGGAGCAATGCTGGTATCGTCGGTGCATTCGGATACGCGACGGAACGCTACAGTGGTGTAGGGAGAGGATTCGTGGGGATAAAAGGGAACGCGGCGACGCGACAGAGAACCGCCGTCCGGAATGCTTTATCCATCATGCAATTGGCCATTAGATGCCTTGAGATCTTCCGGCAACGATGACAGTTGGGGAAAAGAAACGGTACTCGCCCAGGCGTATCAGGCAGTATTGCCACAGTTAACAGCTGGTCGACGTATCGCAACCCATTGCGTTAATGTAGGTATGTGTTAGTTTTCACAAAAATAATCTACGACGGATTGGGCAGCACGCGATCTTAATTTCGAATTCGCAACCGTTCTGTCGACGGCGTCAACGACGCCAATCATCGGACGACTGAGCAATTAACCGAAAATGATAACGTCGGTATTGCTACAACATATTAAAAAAGTATTACCTTTACTTAATTGATTTATTGCGCCAAACCCAATGGCATAGTTGACAATGGCAAACCGTCGCTACTAATATCTGATAAGAGAATAATTATGAACATCACAGATTTGTGTGCTCGATATGCCCAACACGAGCCATTTACACACGACGTTCCAAAACATAAATGCATAATCTAAATGATGATGAATTTACAGGTATTTGAATTGTAGTAATCTACGCGTGATGTCTATTTTTTCGTACTTCAAGCGTTCACGAGTAGTACCGTTCTGGCCAAGACACATAATAGTACGCTATTGGTTCACAAAGTTCATAGTTTGGTCTGGTGGCGTATCCGTGCCCAACTACCCCTATTAAATCTTCTAGCGTCCTACATTGACGCCAGTTCAGGGAACCAAAAGAGCGTTCCATAAGACCTTTTCGTCGAATCCATTTCTTTGGAAGATTTTCGTCAGGATGTGCTCTTGTACAATGTCCAGGCGCTCCGCCCTATTTGAAATATAATTCGCTACTTCTACCAAAGTTGTTCCGATCGCTTTTTAAAACAGATTCCTAGAGTACACTTAACTTTCTGTAGTGCCTAAATCACAGTTTCTGTAGTGCCTAAATAAAACGTTCAATTGATTCCTTGCTTGAAATGTCGCACCGGCCTATAGCTACTGATGAATTTACATTTGCCTAGTAAGTAGAATTATTCTGATTATTTCTGCTGTTTTTCCTGACTGTTTAGTATCAGTTCTATTCGTGTAAGTAGATCCGTGTAAAGTTCTTTGCTATATTGTTTTTTTTTTTTAATTTTATTACATTTTTAATAGTATAGTAGTGAGAAAAAGAGTCTATCGTTAGAAAGTTGATCTTCTACGTTCCGGAAAATATTGTATTCTTTTGGGGCACTTTCTATGACAGCATGGTTTTAGTAAGCTCTTTCCCTTGTCGTTTACCATAGGTTATACACATTCGATAGTCTCTAAAAATCTATATAGTATAGGGAAAGCTCTAATATAGATGTTACTGTGCCATTAGAACTACATAGTTGGAGTTCATCTTTTGATAAGCCGATTTTGAGGTTGATACACCTTTACTATGGAAATACACTATTACGTTTAGTGTGTCGATCATCCAACGCAGCTGCACATGTAGAAGTGCACATCTTAAGTGTACCAAAAAGTCGTCGTAGATATTTGTGTCTTTAGAAACTGCTAGCATTTCACATTTTACGTCTGCCATTAGGCGTTGCTTCAGACAAAGCAGGAACCTACCGGTGCTCTATCCGTTTGACGCTGTTCTGCTCTCGGACGCGTATTTGATTCTGTGTGTATTTACGTATTCTAGGTACTGTGGCCCTATTTGCGCATGAAAGAGTTTCCGTTTTTCCTTCTGTTAGTGCTTGTACTTGCCCCTCTCGGATGACTTCAATGTCAGACGACTTTAGATTGTGGCCCTTCCAGGTTTGGCAACTGCCGCTGCCAGCGAAACCCTAGTCAGCGTTCGATTGCGACTTTTTCGTTTAGTTGAGTTGAGATCGCTGTAGCTATTTGTTGTCAGTTTTCCTTGGTCGTTGTCTTTCTTCCTCGACGTTTCTCCTCTCCCTCCATCCCACTTCTCCTGCGTCTCTGATAGCTACCCGCCGTCTGCGGTTATATTCTTGAAACATCATGTGGCTCTATGTATTTCTGTGTGCACTCCTCCATGTCGGTTCGTTTGTCTGTAGTTGCTTGCGACCAATGCTATATGATCTTCGGCCCGCATTGGTTTCGTTATATATGTCCGTGCATGTGTGCGAAACGTATGTGTGGCCTGAATGCAGGATAAATCGAGGATTGTACGTTGGGCCAGCCCAGTCCGACCCAAAGCAGGCCTAGCTGCTTTGGCTATACCCAGCGACCCTTTCGTGCCGCTCCTCACTAGAAAGAATTGTTGGCACCGCCTCTTCTTGCATTCCATTACTTTGCCTTGTCTTCTTGTACCCTTACCCTCTTCTGCCTCTTGCCGTCTTGAGCCTGGAAAGAAGAGGATCGACTGGCTCCTTTTTTTTCTAGGCTGCTGTTGGTTGGCGGACGAACGCTATTTGCTCTCCAAGCAGTAGTAATAGCAGCATTAGAGAAGCCGAATTATGTCACGACCGCATCAGCAACTTGGTAACGTCGCTAGCCGATGCAGTAGCTGGCGACTGCAGAAACCGCAGAACCGCGAATGCCAACAACAGCACCAGCGTTGCACTAGCAAGAACAAAAGGAGTTTCCGTTCGTTACCCCACATTCTCCCCGTGCCTCACAACCACTGTTGGTTCCCTACAGCCTTGAGTTGCCTCAATTCTGCATCGCTGTACTCTTCGTCTATGCTACGCTTTGGTTCCCGCCTCGGACTCGTATACATTTCCCGGCACAAAACCCGAAACCTACTCGTTTTCCATGTTGGAACCTTTGTAGTCACTGGGGATAGTTGTCCAAACCGCCGGGGGCTAGTTGCTCGCGTCGTTTTTCTGTCTCTACTGAGTTTAACTTCCCCGATCTCAAATGTCTTGGCTTGCTAGTTTGCCAATCCCTTGTCCAATCGACACCCACCTTCATCCCACAGAACAGCACGTTTTCCTCGCAACGTCTCTCGAGTCCTCTTCTAACGGCGAGAATGATGTGGCAGGTGGCTGAACTCGAGATACATAATTACATATATATATATATATATGTAATTATATATATATATAGTGATTATATATACATGTATATATGTATTTATATATAACATTTATTGCCGAGGGCGCTTTTTTCGCTAGGCTGCTCTTGCCAAAGAGCTCTGTAAGGGCTGAAGAGAAAAGCTAGTAGAATAGCGAGGAGGCGGAAGGGAGGACAGTGACATGACGCCCAGGCTTAGCGCTCATATCAGCTTAATGGTCGATCGTATAAACGACAGGGCCTAGCGACAGAGGGACCAGTAGTGTCAAAGTAAGGAAAACAATAAGGAACAGCATTTGTCTTCGTCAGGCCTTCCTACCCCCCAACTCGCAACACCTTTCTTAATTCCCAATAGGCTCATTCTACTCTTTTTCTCGTTCCCTAAGTAATTTTACGGAAAGAAGTGAAGTAGTGCGAGGGGCGAACTTCAGTGATACAAAAAAAGGGGGACAGAGGAATTGCTTCTACCGCAATAGTGGCCGTACGTGAACGACAGAGACGTAAGCTTTGGCAAGATGACAAAGAAAAGGCAGCCGTAAAAGCTGCAAGACTCGGGAAGCTCACTGCCCACTTGTGGTCCCTCCAAGTATCGGTGTCGCGGGGCCTTAGTGTGAACGAATTCGAAGAGCTATCTAAAGAGGAAATCGTATACAACAAGAAAGAACATGTTGAGCAACATTTGTCAGTTCAGAATTTTTCGTTTATTGAAAAGTCGTGTACAAGTCGTATTCAGTGAGCGTGTAACAATGTAACCGTAGGTATCATCATCATCGGCATATATACAATCAGTACTAGCATTACCATCGCTTTCTTTTAAAAAAGAGTTTCTAGCATTGCTTTCGCTGTATTTTTTCTCCCTTACCGAATATCTACTTACGTATGCGAGACAATACTACAGTGGAAGAACTCAACTTTCTCAACAACATTAGCTTTATATTGGTGAAAGGTCTTTGACCAAGACGCATTTTTTTCGTGTTTAATTTCTCACAATTTCCTGCGTCGAGAACTTGTAAAGCTATGGGTGGGTTTGTTGTTCTAGACCTATAATTTTATCAGTAATAGTACTTCTAAAAGTTTCACGATTCTTTATTCTATGACCTATTTGTAATTTGTTTTCTATATTATCGTGAATTCGTACTAAGCAAACTCACTTTCTATGCGCTGGATTGACTTCTCGTAGATTTGCTTTAAGTACAATTTTTTTTTTAAGCACACTACACTTCAAATGTTAATGTCACAGTCATCATCATGCTACAATAATCAATTTTCACCATCTTTCTATAATAAGCCACCATAAAACCACCGCACCATTGTCTAAAATCACGATGTTGTGCTATACTAAATATATATATATATATATATTTCTCACGTACACTTATTATTATTGTTACATAGATACTCGACAGTTATTGCCGTTCCTTTTGTTACCTATGTGCTGCATACCTTCAAACTGATGAGCACTCATTAAAGCTTAAGGACGCCAGCTGTCGATAACAGAAAGGAGCAATACTCCAATTCTACCCGCACACACGGATATTTCTTCGAAAGCCGTATGAGAGTTCGGTCCATCCTTATAATCGCTCGACCGGAGAGACGCGCTCATATGAGGCCGGCTCTCTGGCTTAATTCGCGCTTGCAAGACTGATTTTCCTTAAAGATTTATAAAGATTTTTTAAAATATTTATATCTAGTTCTCTCTCTTCGTATTCGTTGCTTCCTTTTATATCTTTCAGTGGTGTCTGTCCTTCTCGTAAGGCTCGTCAGTAGCTTCAATTAAGTGGCCTAAATTTCGATTGTGACTTTTAAAAAGTCAGCCTTGCTATGTAAGGCTTTGAAATAGATAAGGCTAAATATTGCTATTATTAAAACATTAAGTAAAGCCAGTTGTACGGCTGGGTCTGACGTCTGGCCGGATGTAATTTTAGCGGGCTGGAGCAGACGCTATTATTATTGTTATTATTATTCTATTGACTATCGCACCGAAACTACCGGAAAGACCAAACAAAGATATTCTGTTGCCGATTACTCTCATAGTGCTGCACTCACGGTTCATTGCAAAACTTCATAATATCTACTTGATAACTACACTATGCATGCGTTCACTTTTTTTCACCGTTACGTTCTGTGCGCGCGCGACTAGCCATCACTCCACAGACCGACCTAATATCTAACTCCTCCAAATACTTATGAAAGCAAGGCCTTGCTTCTTCAGGACCCAGAATAGGCGGCGTCGGTGCTTGGTCTGACAGTGGTTTGGTCGGTCGCGCTTGTAGCATGCATTTAAAACGACAGTGATAGTCTTTGGTCAAATTCGTTGGAAGTTTGCAAAAACTTTTCCTTCCGAGCAAATTGTACACTGCGAGTATTGGGGCTCCATGTTTTAAGGGGCACTTAAAAAAGACTCACAACTTTTTTTGCGTCAGTTCGTACTTGAGCACTAGACCGCGAAATCCAAGTAAAAAAAGTGGTGGGGTCTTAGGGGTATGTCAGAAGTTGGGGAAACGGGGCTTTTAGGACGGTACGAGCTCATTACATACGCGAACAAGAAGAAGCAGGCTAGTAAGAAGGTCAGACAAGCCTTACCCCTGTGCATTTCTACATTCTTAGCGTTTTGCATTTAGATTATTAGAGGCAAATAGATAGCAAGCCGTTGAACAGTAAAAAGCCAACTATACGTCGATTTTACTCACTAGCCTCTTCTTGCGCGTTTAAGGGTCAATGGATAGTGCTCTTTTCTCCACTAACTTAACTAAAACAGAACGTGGTTGTCGGGTGTCGTTTGTCTGATTCTAAGCAGCTGAGAGATTGCGGACAGGGGTTTAGTGGTGTTCTGTCTCATACAGTAATATATTAGCTAGTAGAACCGTGAATTTAGTGATGATTAATAGAAAAACACGGACAGAACCGCAAACCCGGAGGCATCGGCCATTCACTACCGCGGCAATAGTAGCGAATGGTGGTCACTAGCGGTCTGATACGAAACTGTTAAAGACACATGTTTCCTAGTCTAGCCATTGTGCCTCGAAGTGCATAATGACCACTACGGGTCAATGGAACGTACTGAAGAGATGCCTGTCTTCAGCAGGATCATTAATAGTCTCTTTTGAATATAGGCCTATCTAAAGGAGAAGATACTCAAAGCAATTTTTGGGCATAATTCGAAATTCAGCACGCCTGGATTAACGTTACGAATTTATTTCTTTTGAAACTGGGGGTAGTAAACGTAGCTTTTAGTTTTGCTTCAACGGAGAATTATTTTTCTTAAGGGCTCGTGAAAGTTAAGCTTAAGGTTTATCTATGCGGTGAATGTATTAAGTTGCTCGCGAGTCTAGTAAACACAGACGTTATCATATCGGGAACCTCCTAGGTTAATAGGGTTGTGCTATATTAGCTTGGGCAAGAGTCAATTTAGTCTTGGTTGATCGTGAATCAAACGTGACACTAACGAATAACCGCAAAACTGTCAGGCAGCGAATGGTAACAAATTCGCTATCTGTGAAGAAATTGTCGGAAAGCCAGTCCGCGGCCTGTCTTGACATCTCAAATAAGAACCATGAGAAGAAGAGTGCCAAATCTTTGCGGAATCTCACGTATTATCTTTCTCTTCCTTTGATTTTTCGCTGTCTCTTTCACACGCGCCTACTATTCCAATTTTTGGACCATTTTTCGCACCTCTACCACTGTCACTATTTCGTTTTTCCACTTCCGTGTTCTTTCATTTCTGAAAGGTCGCCTGACCGTCTCCACTTCATCCGGCGCCCCTCTTTCTCCTTGACGCGGCTTTCTTCTGAGCCGAAACCACGTTTCAACCCCAGCCCCACTAACAGCCGTAGTCTCGCAGTTGTGGCGTTCTACGTCGTGTGGAGGTAACGCCAAGGTAACGGACGCCACAAAACTCGCAGGCTTCGTTCGAATCCTCCTAGGCGCTGATGGGGATAGCGCCGACGGGGGCACAAGGAGCGCAGCTGTGGCGTAGCAGCGGCAACGATGATCCCTTTGATGGCCCTTGAAGATTTCTTCTCATTTTTGGTACAGGGGCAGAGCCTATCCTCATGCCGATTCGATGGTCCTAACATAATTTAGCTAATCAATTCTATCGCAACGGCCATCGTGGCGACGGAGGTTTCTTCTCCGGCTGCTACTACTACCGTCCGACTTGGCGAAGGCCAAATGCTGTGCACTCCGCACAGGACAGATGAAAGTAAATAGTTTCTTTTCCTGTGACTGACTGATCGACGGGTCGACTGTGCCGCTCAGCGCTTATGGCCTCCCGTCAGGTATTCGTCGGGAATAAGTGGGTCGAAGTGACGGCAGTGATGGCGGGTGTACTGGCGGTAACTGTGATAGTGGCGACTAGAGAAACGACGAGGACCGCAGCTCAGTCCACAGCGCAGGACAGAAACTCAATGCTACTCACATCTTCTCAAAGCTTATAGTAACAGCTACATGCATAAGAAACGTGTGGAGCTGTAGTATCAGTATCGACAAACGGTAGTCGCCCGAAACTGCTGAGACTTTGTGGCACAAGCGGTAGCCTGGCATGACGGACCGAGCAAAATATTGTCCTTTATATTTCAGGGTTATGCTGCTTAAAGTAAAATACTACAATAGAATAGTGGCACATCAGTAAAAAAAACTTTGTAAATGTCCTGTTTGACTAACGTACTGCGAGTTTACTAGTCAATAGTCGAAATCGTCATAGTACTTTTCCGTTGTTCTATTGAGACGGGTATTGACTGATGTTAGCCAATGTTCAGCCGACCGTTACGTTTCGTTTTAGTTAGCTTTTCTCATTGACTATAGACGCTGATTTGATTGTGAGAACGGTTGGGTTTTGCCTCAGGTCTATTTTGCTTTCGCAATCTCAACCTAAATCTATAAGAAGCCCTCCTTTCTTGTACAACCAATTTCTGGTTCTAGTTCTGCAAACCAGAATACTCGTTCTGTTAGCCTTTGTCATGGGGGGCTGGAAGCAGTTCTCACATCCATGGCAAGTCTGTGTCCGGCCTGTTTCGTTACCTCTCTGTTCGTTATTTTCTCGTCCCAAATGGGTGCACCACCATTCTGCCGTCCAATTAGCCGTTACTATCCCCTCTTCCCTTCTTAATGGCTATCATTAACTGCCGCTTTTGTGAGGATTTTTCGTTGAGGGTTGCGAGATTCAGTACAGAAATACCGTGATTGAAGGCGAACGAGTGGGTTAAAGCAAAATAGACAACACCGGTAAAAAGGGAAACCAAGAACAAATGAAAATATCCGCTTGCCTAATAGAAGCGCAACGCACGCAAATTTTGCCTAACGATTGCCATAAAGCGAACGGCTACCCGTCCGACGACGCTCGCAACGAGCTTTTGCATATATTCACAGATCCCCATATTTATCCATTATTTGTGGTAGCCTGTCTCTATCAAACCTCTGGTGCTGTCCCCTGGTGAGCCCGCTGCCATACGACCTAACATTTCCGCGCGCTTTTCGCTCTTTACTCACTGAAGCGTCCACTTTCATTTGGCGGCCCCCTGGATTGCCGTTGGGAAATCGTTACTGGGGCACTCCGAACATATACTCGCCTTGCCCGGTTTTACCAGTGACAGCATCATGGTTTGCCAGGAAAGTGGAGGTCGAGGCAGGTGCTTTCCAGCCAATTTGTTGGGAATTCCTGTCGCTGCTCCTTGTCGGCTTGCCTGTCCATCCGTCCGTCCAAGTTCCTGCTGCCCACTTTGACACGGCAAGCTTATTTTACCCCGATGCCCACCAAGTTGACACTAGTGGGCCAGCAAATTTCACCGTGGCGGCGGCGGCAGGCCTGAGCGAAGAATGAAGGGTTCCTATTCGTTGTCCGTTGTTCGGACCACCCGTCAACGGAATCGCAGACAGTGTTTTATGCGAAGTGTAAACCTAAAACTGAAGCTGGCAATTTTAGCATCGCTCTGCAAATTAGCCTTTGCAGAGAAGCCAAGATTCTAAGTCAAAGGTCAGCTAATGCTGCTTGTTGGCTGCCAGATTTGAAACAGCTGTTCTCCCGTAAAATATCAAAGCTAGCACACGTAAAACGGGAACAGCAAGAAAAAACAACAAGGAAGAACAAGCTGCAACCACAAAAGATCTCTTTCACAAAAAGTGAACGCGAGCGTATGCATAGTGCACGTAGCTATCGTTATATCTTCCTTTAGCAATTACCTGCGCAAAAACATCCCGTTCATTCTCGGCCTACTATCAGCAGGTTGTTCGTTCGTACGAAAATTTTTTAGCTGACTTGTATAAGCCTATTGGCTTCTTTTAAGAAGCCCTGCACGATATCTTCCTTTCAACTTGCTAATGTAGAAAACTACTTTTATCCCCAATTTACAACGTAGTCGGTGCGGCGGCATAAGAGGTAAAGGCAACAGCAGCTGCTAATTTAGGTCTTGCAATAGTTGTCCTTTTTGTCCCGCTAAGGCTCCCACATGTACAACGTTTTACATCTTCTCTACTAGTGCTCCTTTTCAGCTGAGAAGTTCATTACGTACTGGTCAATCGTACGTAGCCGTGGGCAGTAGATAAAGGTCGATACGAAGCTGGGATTGAGAAAAGGGAAAAATACGTCATTGGTGAAATGTTGGCCAACCCACACAGCGAGTTCTCTTGCTTCGGAGTATCCGGGATGATAACCGAATGTTTAGTGGCTGTACGCGCGGTTTGAGTAAGCGCCGGAATAGATTGATGAATTTCCGGAAGATCCCTTTCTGCGGCGGCGTTGCATGATGCACCAAACAAGTAGAAGGACAAGTAGCAGCAGCAGGATGCCTGAGAGGATTACGACGAGCGCGAACTTACGTGTTGACAGGCAGAAGTTGAATGATTCGTTGATAGCCGGCGAGGAAAATGCTAAAAACGCCAAAAATAAAGATGATAAAAAAAATTGTTTGATTTAAAAAAACAGCAAAAAAGTATGCCATTGATCGGTCAGTGAGTTGACGATAGATACGGTAATTTTGGCTCCATAGCCTTGTGTCGACTAGGTATCTATTTTGTTTAGAACTATTAATTACTACAGATGCATAGCATTATTGAAGACTGAGAATGCTTCTCTGTATAGATTCGTTGAACTTAAATTTCTTTTAAGGACTAATACTATACTCGATAAACGGCCTAAAACAGACATATTTTTTTACTAATTAAAACAAATTCAACAACATGCCTAATATTTCGTACTACATTTAGATTAGTTGCCACCAATATTCTCATGTACGTAGTTATCCTCTGCACTCAGCAAATGCTCTTTAGCTGGAGCACCTATTTCAATGGACTTCATTTTAAATATCCTATACGATACTTCGATTTTCTACTGTGTAACGTTCCATCGCTGTCATCGTCGCACCCCTCTTCGACTCCTGGTATTTCATGATTTCTTTTTTGCCAATGGGCGCAACCATTCTCGACTCGTACCGCTACAAATTGGTTTTGTCCGTTTAGCGATTGAGTCGAACAAGTTGAGTTGAGGTTGTATCTCGTCTACATACGTTTAAAAAAGTACGAAGCCTCGTGGAGAAGCTCGCTGCGACTAAAGAAATATTAAGGTCGGCGTATCGTTTTTTTACTGTTGTCGCTGCGTTTCACAGCGACCGGCTATAGCACAAACGAAGACAAGGAGAAGGCTGTCGACGCTGAAGGTGCGGATGACGCGTACAACCAATCTGTTCGCTGCTGCTTCTGCCGCGGCCGCTACCAAGTAACACGGCCAAACGAACCACACGTCCGGCATCACTAGCACAACTAATGTGGCACCCGCAACCCTCGCCTCTTCTTTTACAACCACGAACATTGCAGACTTCGCAAGCTAAGTTTTTGTCGTTGACTACTGGCCGGGTTTGACGTTGTCGCCGTTGCTAGCTTCGATGCCGCATTGGCGGCGGGTCGCTGAAGAAAGTGGAACCGAAGACTTAGGTGCTGATAGCGAGTGGCACGGGACGAATAGGAACATGCGGCCATCAGGCGAAGTGAGCCCCATTTAAGCCGGATAGACAGAAAAGTAGAGAGCGAGGCAGAGGCATAAAAGTGAGAAGAGCCGGCGGCAATCGCAGAAATTACTGCCACCGCTGCTGTTGCTGCTACTGTAACAGAGTGAACGAAATGACGGCAAACGGTAGGCAAGTGGCAGCAGTTACCCCGAGAGGGAGAGACAAACGGGGCGGGAGAAGAAGCGGGTGAGCTGCGCCTTAGATACAATGTTAGTTGAGCTGAGTCGCTCGCGTATAAGGCTGTTCAGGCGATAGACGTTAGCCAGGAGCCTAGGCTAAAGTTTCCAACCTCATCCTATTCGAGACCCCAATGCTGCTTGCTAGTAGCAAGGCTGTATAGAAGCAGAGGCAAGACTATCCCTGCCAGCCGTAGTTGGTTACTTATACGCTACATAGCGTGCACACAGTGATGACGCTGAGGTGCGCATCGCAATGAAAGCTAACCACAGGAAGCATGACGTGCTTTGGGGATAGGAGCTGTCGAAAAAAGGATTTGGAGCAACGAGAGCAGCAAGTTGCGAGAAAAAGCTCATCATCAAGTCATGTCGAGACGGGCGGAAGGCTCAACGGGCAAGGGAAGGCAGAAGGCGTTAAAGGGAATGGGTGAAGTCCTGGGCGTTCTGGCACTAGCAGCAACTGTAGTTCCTTGGTTTCAACGGTGGCAGCGGGTCGGAAGGAACTGCGCACGACCGGAGGTTGGGTGTGAGCACGGAGTTCGGTTGCAGAGAGAACAGCGGTCGTCTGCTGGAAAAAGCTCTGTCCCTGTGACGAAGGATGGGCTACGTACGTAATATACGCAGGCACATGGGTGGAATACGACGAGATACGACTAGAGACGAAGACGAAAAAAAGGTACGAAAGAACATGGGGCGTCGCGCAGAGGGGAGGAAAAGCAAAATGACAAAAGCCCGAAGGACGTGGCTCTAGGGGCTCTAGGGGGTTCGTTGTAGAATGGGAGCTAAAAACAGAACGAAGTCGGGAGTGATGTTGCGGGGTAAAGCTAAGCAGGCAAAACGCAGCAGACACTGAGTGGGCTTGCTGACTGGGCGCTGCTAGCGCCAGCTAAGGACTAAGAAACGCGCTATGCCTGTGCCCGGCCGAAGGGTTGGGGACCGTCATGTCAATTTAAATAATTCACAGCGTGAACAACGTGCTGCATAACATGTTTGTCGGTCAGAGTGCATCAAAGCTGTAGAAATAGGACGGAGTAGGAAGGACCGGGAAAACGAGATAAAGGAGAGTGGGGTTTGGCTGAAACCATTCCTGCCATCGCTGACGCTGCCGTCAACGAACGGTGGTCTCGGCGCACCAGGGGGCGCACCGCAGCAGCGGGTACAGGATGCCCGGCAGCACGGACGAACGAAAATGAATAAAAGCACTGTTCTTGGCTACGGAGCCGACAAGAACAAGTCGAAAAAGAAAGAAAGCGCAGTACGAGTGAGTGAACGTCGAGGGGCCCAGCGGATCAAGGTGATAGGAGCATCGACAACTGGTATAGGCAGTACGTCGCGAACAGAACGCAACGGCAACGGTAATAGTAGGAGGAACGGTAGCAGCAGCCTTTATATATTGAGAGTGGATTCCGTGGAGGATAATCTCCACGAAGATGACAAGAAAAGACGGGGGAGCAGAGTAAGCGAACGATAAGAGGTTACGCCATTGAGGAAAGCTAGAACTATCATGCCCTTCGTTGGCTCGATGGGCCAAACGTAGGTAGGCGAACAGGACAACAGCAGTAGGTAGAACAACAGGAAAAGAAAAACTATCGGCTAGCTAACGCAAGTTAGTCATTGTATAGCGGTTTATAGGAGAAGTCTTTACACTGTTTCGTCGTTGTATATGTGCCTCTGTCCTAAAGGCGTACAACAGTCTATCTCTGCTATCGAGCGCTGCAATGCGCTCAATTGCAAATACATTAGTGAATAGCAACACACATATGTGTGCATTAGTATTTACACCTTGGAAAACGCATCGCCACTAGGCCGGCAATAATGTTATTGCAGTTGCTACCTATCGCTGAAAACAGGACCGCACTACATTGCGACGCGGTGAACCTAGGTAAGAACCCAGCATGGGCGCGACCAAGCGGCAGAAGAATAAACACCTCGAATGGGGGTAGGAAATATTTCCCCAGAGAACTCGAGTGCAGCAAGAAGACATGCAGCCGTATTGCTCAGAGAAGCGTATGAAATCCCCATTGTTACAACTGGCAGGATGGCCGTGAAGTGTTGTGTCTTTAATAGGAACGTTGCCCTGGGCGCGAAAGCTACTAGTTCATCGCTAGCGGATTTGTCGACGCATACTAACTTTAACAGTTCCTAGGAGCCGCAGAAGCAATTAATGGTGCCATCGGAAAATAGGGGCTGACAATCATGGTAGATATAAATACGGCACCAAAACTCAAATATTTTTGCGGGCCAATATATCTGGTGAGTGGAACGATTCTATTCCTTTTTTCCTTTCAGTCGTTCCCCAGCTCTGTTCGCTATTCCTATTGAGGGAGAGATGTCAAAGGAACGAAGGTAACGTCGAGGTCATTGTTATAGCTATGTTCAGACGATCCGGAAATCGGTGTAGGGACTAGAGTTCGTACTAGTGAGCGCTCCATGGAATTCAGTGTTATTATATACGTAAGATGTTAATGCGTTACCGTTTAAGCCGGTCATCGTTGGGGAAAGGAGAAAGCGACGGGATACGAAATAGATTGGCTTCATTTGTTCTTACCTTGGTTATCAGCTGCGTGTTTGGTTTGTGTGCTTCACATTTAATACAAGCAGCGACCCGCTTTCTAGTTGAAGTGTCAGTCAGCTCAACCGTTTATCTAAATTTCTGATGTTTGTGTGGGCCTGAGCACAAAGTTCCTGCAAAGCACAAATATTCTTCTCCTCGTCCTGAGCCAGGAACCGGTGGTTGAAGTGAAACCAAGAACTAACGCGGTATATACAAGGGCAAACAACGTCTGACACCATCGCATCAGCGATATGAGTTTGGACAGCGTTCCGAAACTGGAAGTGGCTTGTGACGATAAAGGCAAACACCACAGAGAGCATACAATGGCGAAGTGAGTCGCTGATATCATTGAGGCCAAGGGGCCTGCGGCCACACTGGGGTATGGTTGCAGGTGCTTCGGCCTCGACATTGATGACGACAAACCTGTAGAGACGAGTAAAAAAAAAAACAGAGGGCATGCGAATATGCTGCTGTAGCATTAAAGCAAAGGAAGGCTGTCGTCTTGTTCGCGCAAAAGAGCATACGCCAGGTGTATGCTTCAGATATCTGCGGCCTGATTGGGTCTAATCTGAGAAGCAGGAAAATGCGAAGGAAATCAAACATATCAGATATGCAAAGTTCTAGTGCTGGCAACGACATCGCATTCGGCACCGTCTTGCACTATGCGCATTTGTATCCCCTCTGGTTACGACCGATGCATGTTTTGATACACGCAAACATATCCACGACGTCCCTAGTGAGCAACGGGCTTTCGCTGCGGGGTTAAGATGCATGCATGGAGAAAGTCGAGACAGATCAAGATACGAGCATACATCTAATATAAACAAAGCGTGGAGTAACCGAAGATATTGAATGAGAACTTTACCATGCGCCGAAGGACAGGATGAAGGAGGAGAAAGAGGTTTACAGTGTGGTTATTACACGTCGTTTATACGCGCTATGACACTAACCAGCAGGCGCGAGTGTGAAGGCACTAACCATCTAGACCTGGATACGTGGGCCTTTGAGACGATCTGCAGACGGTGCTGTCAAGATACTAGTGTAATTGTGCTTTCTCATGGCATCCCCTAGGAGAGCTATGTCGAACTGTGAACGTGATACGGTGATTATAAACAATGAGCCAACGAAACTGGACCTACAGTCTTACATAGAGTCTATATACTAACTTTAAACACTGTCGTTGCTTTGCACGCACGCGGACGCTACCCGCGTCCAATCGTAGCTCCATTAGACTCATAGCGGCAACCGAAGCAGCAATACGTGTTGCAGAAATCGTGTGAAGAAAAAAGAAGAACTATACGTATAGAACCTATGGCCGTAAACAGGCACGTCGCTAGCGCTAACGGAAAGCCCGTGGTTGTCGGTTCGACTGGCTGCACTGACGTGGTCCCATTCATCCTTAAAAAGAAAGACAAGTTCCCGGCTACTGGAAAGTGTCGAACGCAAAAGACGACGACAGCCGCCTCGGACAGCGCTTGGGAAGGCCGACATTCAGGCAAACAGGCGGGCAGGAATACACAGTTGTGGCTGAGCCAAAATAAAACAATAGCTTTTCGGCGGCGAGACTCTGCCGCCTCGCCTAGCTACATAAGTACCAGCCTGGAGAATAACAACAGGATAAACTATGAGGAAGAGACACACAGAAAACAGATGCAAAAAGCGGAATGGAGGCACAGTTAGAGAAGAGTCTGACGAAATGCAAGAAAATAAAGTCATAGTGAAGAAAGCGAGTGAACGACGGAAGATTCCGCAGCCGCTGCTGTTGCCAGCCGCATATTTTCTGCATGGAGTTCGCCGCTTGCCGGCTGCCGCTGCCACGCTAGTGGCCAGCGACAGCTGTAATGGTAAGGGCGCAAGAAACCATGGGCGTATATAAACGATTGATAAGAAAACGCCGTTCAAGCGTGAATTCGTTGAGGTTGTAGCAGCAACGACAGCCGACGGCTGCACAATGAAGGAAAGCCTCGGCTTTTTAAAGTAGACGAGCGACAGCAACGGTGGATGCCGGATACAAGTCTAGCTAGGAAGCGAGTGACAATTCGGGTTTCATTTTTTAACCATACTTGTATATATAAATGAGTTCGAGGCACACGGCCGGGACTTTGAAAAGAAAGAGTGGAAAAACGGCAGTAGCGTGAGCTAGCAGAACAATCGACGTGAGGAGAATAACAGACCAGTAGTGGAGTGCACGAGAGGTACTTCTTGAAAAATAATATATAATAGTGGTGATCTGAAGTCATAGCAATCAAGTGGATGTCGACATATGCAAAAACGTAAATGCGGAAGTGGTATTTTACTAAAGGAAATTGCTATGTCAATAGATACAAAAGGGACCAAGATATTTGTAACTGTATTGTCACTCTACCTTCTTCTTTTTCATTACTTCTTATTTTTATAATTGTATATATTCCCAACGTGGGTAAAGATCCAGATAAGTACGGATACTATATTGCATGTTGGGTTTTTGACTTTAGGATTCATTGTTCGATGTTCAACGGTCATTTCGAAAAGCTCCCCCGTTAAAAGGTACTTAATGATGAAAACGACATGTTTTACCTTGCGGATTTAAGCTCCTGATTCCAATTCAAGAGCGCTAGTGTGTACGCCGCTAGGGAACATCTCGAGATCGTTCTGTTTGTATTTGTGTATACGTGGCTTGAGCCACCTAACTTCAGAAACCTGTCAACTGTTCGGTTAAAGTTACTATTCTTCAAGGAAGTAGCTCGTTTCGCTTTTGTACCGCAAAGTTAGTTGTTCGACTCGACGTATTAATGTAATCATTAAAAAAATGCCCCTGTTCCAAGTATTCTTTTGGGACTACATCGCAATTAGACATATCTGCTCTGATTCATCATTTGCATATAAGTTATGAAACTATGTACTAGTCACGATCTTTGACTTAGCCCCTATCCACCATCAAGGCCGTAAATGAGCAACAGCTATAAGTGGGCACAGAGGCCTAACGAAAACATTATAATGACAAAATTGATAATATACTTACGCACTTAGTATCTGCTACAAATGTTTACTGTTAAGAAGTTCTAGTATATGGTACCAATTAACGAATACAGATTCAAGCGTTCGCAAAACAACGCTTCATAGAACCTTTCGTCTTACTTTTATTTTGACTGATATTTACACTGTGATATGGCCAAGGTCAAACGTCTATCAGTAATGTCTATCAGTCACGAGCACACAGATTCAGCTTGCACAATGAGACAACGATTAGCAGTGCACTTTGCCGACGTATACCGATAAATACCCACCGTAAGCAAGCGTCTGCGAAACGATTGCGCTATAAAAGCTAGCTGGTACAAGCAACGATATCCATGTACACAGACGTACGCCCATACCTTAGAGTAAATCTAAAATTTCTCCATGGTATTTTTCGAATGATACACTGCGCAGACTATGAACACCGTTTAACGTCAATGAGTTCTACTACGTAGCCAAAAACCGCAAGTAGTAAACCGTGCGCAACAGAGCGAAGTTGTGCGAAACTATTACACACATTGTTTATTCGGTCTATCCAACGGCTTACAATGAACTTATTACAACTTAAAGTAAAAACCGATCTAAGCAAAAGGCAGGGAGCTGCCCCCAAAGCCAATTGACTTCCATTAAAATATAGATAGACACAAGCGTTCGTAAAGCATTTACTTCCATCTGTTGTTCGCGGTTGTTGTAGCTGAGCGAAGAAATGAAGGGGTAGCGGACAGAGCGATGCCCGTACACGGAGCCCGTCTAAAAGCAAGCTGCTGGAAACGACGGTGTAGAAGAAGATCTTTTCACCGCTATGTTGGCATAGAATTCATCCTTCTTTGTGTGAACCGGTAAGAATAGCTGCTAGTGTGACTGTTGTATACAGATAAGAATGGCCAATCGATCTAGGCTTAGCGAACTGGCTTCAGAACAAATTGATCAAAAACTTCGAACGCACTTTCTTCTTGCTTGAGCAGACGGCAGGTGCAAGGAACAAATACAATAATCCCGTCAGTCTTCCTAGCCAACAAACCTTTTCTCGGAAGGACAGTTTATCGAGCTACACGTCAGCCTTCACTTACCTCATTGTTTATATGTGACACTGCTCTAGATTGTTTTTCCTACGGAGTCTTCTATAAGATGCGTCCTCTTAACTAATTTGTACACTTATTTACAATTTTATAGTCTTAAAACCGTTCATCATCACAATAAGAAGTGTTCGTCATTTGTCAGGCGGTTTGACAATCCGTTAGGTAATGATTTACGGTTCTTTCCGGAGGAAACAATTAGACACATCGACTCATTTTAAAATCTCCTTAGAACCGTAATAACAATTTCTTAGTTAATGTATCTTGCATTGATCTAAAAGGTTGGTAATTTAAAAGGCTCGAATCCTGCAGATAAGCGGTATAAAAAAAATTTAATTAAAGAAAACTAAAGGACAACTTGTAGTTGAACAGAGTGTTTCTACCTTAGGACCTTCGAAGGCACTTGGAAGCGATTCGTATAAAGTCTTGTTAGTCAAAGGTTCGTCAACCACCTTCAAACAACTGGAAATTCACTAACCTTATCTCATCGCATCCAGATTCTCGGCTAATTTAAATTGAAAACACGATGTAATAATGTAATACTTAATGTAATACTTTTTCGAAGCGTATCCTTCTGTCATTAATTAACATATGTCTGGAAGGGATCCCATAGCCGTAAAGCAGCTACGTTTCACACATCCGTTTCAGACTGAGAGTATTGATGAAACGAATACTTACTTTCCCTCTCGACGTCGGAAGGTTCGTTGACGTAAAGCCCCGAAAATACCTCAGTGCTCTTGTCACCAATCTCGATCGCTTTAATTTCCTCGACATCACGAATGCTCCGACTTAACGATCGTGGCATTCGACCTCGGTCACGCCGGTCTGGCCGGAGGCCATCGCAAGTTGGAGGCTGCATTTCCAACAAGAATGATCCAATTTTTAGGTCCGTATTCAATTGAACAACAGTAATGAGCAAAATAAAGGTCGACTCAACCGTTTGAGAAAAAAGTCAGCATGTTTTCTTACCAGTTTTTGCTTGGTTATATATATATATATATATATATATATTGAAGTACAATCATTGTCTCGCATCTGTTCCTGTAATAAACTATGATGCATATGTGTATTAACTCCATTTTTTGCTACAACTGATTTTGGTAATTGACTTTTCGGATAGAGTAGCCCTGATGCAACCGCAAGTTCTTTTTCCTCTCTTATAAGCACGACAAATCGTCAGGTTTAGTCTTTTTTTTCAGTTGAATTCGGCTGCCGCTGCAAAAGGCTCATTATTTCCATTCACCCATTCACTGTACAAGCATATGTATGTTGAGGAGCTTCCTATCGTTGTTCTATTGACATCAGTAATCTTATCCGTCTCACTGCTTTTACAAACTCACGTCATGCCAACGGCCTCCGCCTCCCCAGAACATCTGTTTCGCTTTCCGATCTCTTTCTCCGTTTTTGGCTCCCTTAATTTCTGGGTCTATCTCGGCCTGGAGCTTTCGCACAGCAGCGTCTATTCCGCCTCATGCTCTTATCCTCTCTCGTAATCCCTTTAGGATGGCCAATTTATAGCATCTTCATCTTCTGATATAAGTCGCTAGTGCGTCTAGCTGCGATAGATAGCATACTTAGCCCCTTGTCTTGATACGGCAATCAGCTTCTACTGCTGTTAGACTCTTGACTGTGGCCCTGTGTTGTGCCGTTACTGTGTGCACGCGTATGTGTGTTTCTACGCGCCATTGTTGTTGGTCAGCCCAGCCTCCCATTGTTGCTTGACAGGCCATCGAAAAGGTGGCTTTTGTTTGTGTCGGGTGTAATAGACGCGAGGGCAGCAAGGAGGCTTGAGGCAGAGCTTGGCGAAGTCGGGTACATGACTGGAAATTTTCTGGTTAGGTTAAACCTTACTGTTGCTACGACACTGAGACAGGATCTGACGCCGAAGCTAAGTCTAGAAACGGTATCTTAGTCCTAGCTGCAGACAGGGTTCTAGCTAAACTGCTCCGTCATCTTTTGTACAACAGTAGATGCCGTCTGCTTGCTGTTTCCTGCTTACTGCTCCTCAATTAGCGCGACCGATGAATTGATACGTTCTTTGACCTTTCCGTAATTTGTTTTATAGCCCTCTTTGTGCCGTTCTGTATGTATCCGTCTGTACTCGTTATTTTAACGGCGACTTCAAAAAGTCCTTGTCAGTTAGCGTAAGTGTTGCTCTTGGCCCGTTACCTCTCTACGAGTTACATATATAAATGTATTCATAAGGAACTTGCATCAGGAACCAGGTGCACACGCACGTTAGTACCATATCTATCTGCCTAATAATAGTTTCGTCGCTCACTTAAAAACACAAATTATTTTACCAGCAGAATGGCTTCAGCTGAAACCAGTAGCTGATAATCAGTTCATGCCTTCATTTAAAAGATGGCGTTTTTCAAAACCACAACGATTAGTTTCACGGCTTAACCAGTCCTGACCACAGCCAATCAATGAAACGGATGGTCGAATACAAATGAAGGCCTTGCAAATGGGGACATACATATGTGTGTGCCTGTCTGCCGGCGGTAAAGATAGCATTCTGCATGCTCATATATTTTGACTAGCCATGACCTATGTTTACACATATATATATAAATATAATGAGCTCTCATTATACATCACTGTTTCATTCGATAGTATTTTAATAGCAGGCGTATGTACTGATCAATAGATTACTGTTGGCTGGAACGTTCTGTTCACAGTAGTAGCGAACAGGAATTGATGAACATAACACCCTGTGACTATAGCGGTAGGTTACGTCGGTATCACGTTGATAATACGTTGGACCTGCCTGACGCCGCCTAATCAGCAAAGCGAGAGCTCCCGCTGTCGTGCCTTACGGCCAAAGGATGACAAGAACTCACCTCCATTTCTTGGGTAGTGCTCCCCCGAAGCCATTTTAGGCAAAAGGCGTCATCTGTAACCGGTGCAAGGATCACTCCTACTGAGGATAACCGTTTCAGACTCTGATTGTAGCTTGCCCAAACTGTGAGTTGTCCTAATCATTGCATTCAGACGCGCAAAACAAGCAGGAGTAAGGGGGAACGCATATACGAAACTTACGCGTCCGGTACAAGTAATGCTTAGTTTTAATTTATCATTTGAGCAGAGTGTGTGCTTAGCGTTTTCGTATCTCCAAGTGTTTAGATGAAACTTACCACATCGTCACAACCGCCTGATGGCTTGTGGCAGAGTCGGACGTGGCACTGATAATAAACAGATTTCGTGTAAGGAAACTTGTGAGCAAGGAACGTCGACGTTGCTTTTGAAGTTCCGTCGCTATACTCGAAGCCGGGCATAATCTCTTTGTCGATTGGGCACCTGCACATTGCAATTAACTAGAAGTTAATTTCTTAACTTACTCGGTTAGCACCTAGTTCGTGACTTTGCAAGGTAATTTACTGACATCACATGGAATACAGAATAGTTGACTCGAATAACACCTGTATAGGGAAAATAGTAAATGCTATGGCTAGTGTATAGCTGAAGCTAGGTATTTTGTTTTTTATTACAGGGTCGTATAAAATGTAAATGTAACGTGATGTGAAGGTTGACTTATACTGATTTGTGCAACACATAGAGCTAGTTATAAACATTTTATAAAAGAGAAATGATCCTTCCAAAGTTATCGTGTAGTGATCGATTCGGAGTCACAGAGTATAAACCGTCTTTATAGCTGGATGCTACCTTAGTGGCAAATGTTAAAGACGCCCATAGTATACGGCAGGGTACAATAGGCACATATCAAAGAGTTCCAAGTATTTCAGTTCTTCAACAATTATGAGTCAAGACAAATGTACAACTATGGTTCGGTGAGTGATCATCAACTTCCGTTACCAGTGATGCTTCGACAAAGACAATTGAGCCCTGTTTTACTCACCCTTCGTTATTTACGAGGGGTTGAGCGCCCCAGTTGAAGCCATCTCGCACCACGCAATTCGTGACACGGATTCCGTACATCGCTACGAGAATACAGACAAACAGTCGTGGCAAAAACATTAATGTTAGTAAATTTGGCCACGCATGTTGTGCCACCTAGCGGATTGTAGTCGGCGCATCCGCTGTTAGTAAAAACGAACTATGCACATAAAGATAAACGCCAAGCGAAGTATTAGAAAAAAAAGACAATATGGCGCCACAAAGTGCTCTAAAACACACTCGATGTATACAAGATGAATCAAATCTAAATCGCCGATCTGATGCAAGCGGTAAGAAGATAGCGTTTCCGCGGAGTTTCAATCTTTGTTGGACCTGTCGCGTTTGACAGTCTATTCCATACTTTATTTTTTTTGACAATTTTTTCCAGTGAAACTTAACTTGACCCGATTCATACTTAGGTAAAGTTCATTTGATTATATAAGTACGTTGGCAGACAAACGCGAAAATGGCATGAAACCTAACTATACACGGGTACCGAGTATCAAGGTATACTGAAGAAATTATTCACTGTTTAATAATTAGTAGAGTTCGGCTTACAATTGGGTTCGATGCCGACTGACAATGTGAGGGGATCTCCGATTTTGACGTTCTCTGCCACAACCTGCTTTTCTGAATTTCCAACGTAGATTCTCATGTGGACGTCAGGTCGTTCGGCCTTATCAACGGCTCTTGCCTCAAACGCACTAAAAAATAGTCTATCAGTCGTTTTTCGGGCGCACTTTAATTTGGTTCAGGTTAAACTATAAATCACAAGTTTCGCAGGCGTCCACCTGTGCTGGTTCCTGATTGTGGATATGGCGGAATATAATGGAATAGTTGTTACTTTGCCCTATGTCATCGTTATATGTGCTATTCAATATTTATTATTTAAAATGGGTTACACAAAAGTATTGCCCAATTTCATAGCTTATTTGAAGAACATTTATTCTTAATGGCTCCGAATAACAGTCGCAATTTAGTTAACTCTCATTTAATTTAATAATACCCATTTAATTGAAAAAAAATGTTACTTATATCATCTAGGTAGCCAAGCACCATTACTGATTTGTCGACATTTTAAATAATAGTAAAAATTTATTCACGGTTATTATAATATGAAGAGCTACAACATAAATAAATACTTACCCAGGTCATCTTGTACAATAATAATAAGAAATTTATGTACTTTTCCCAAGACAAGTTGTAGTCTGAACTGCTCTGGCTTGATCAAGCCCCTGGACCACTTTTGAAAAGGAACCCGCGCTAATTGGATATAATTACAGGCTGGTTGCTTAGTTGGATACCTCGTAAAAATTTAGCGTCCTCGAAGCCCTAGTCTGCCATGCCATCTCAATCCGCACATTGGTACTTCGTAGACATACTAGAAGAAAATGATATCGATTCTTTCTTGTTTTTTTTTTCAATAAGTTTATCTACGTTCACACTTACTTAAGTACACAGCGTAGAGCACAGCGACAAACATACGCGCGTATATTTGCAACAAATGGCTTCACGTGTACGAAAGATATCATTAGGATATTAGGAGTTTTCTTCTCTACGTAAATAAGGACGGTACAAAAAAATGCATATATGTTCAGTGTATAACAATAGTGATAACGAATAATTGAGGTCTTTTTAATCGCAGGTTCTTTGTTACGCCATGGTGAAACGAAAGGATTCATGTGAAGTCGTTACATCGACGTAAAACTCACTATGTATGATTGTGAAGTGTATGGTATTTGCAGCGTATGTGAAACCCTTTTCCGCGACTGGTGACGACTTTCCTGTGAGGCTCAATGATAACAGTGTTAAAATATTCGACGCCGCCCCTGACATCAGTACTCATCGTGTTGCAGCTACGTAACGGCAGCTTGTAAACCTACGAGAAAAAAAAGGAGAAATGCAAATTTGTCCTAATCTCCCCTATTGAACGTTTGAAAGAAAACGTGCAAATCGTGAATTGCTCACTCAGTAAATAGTCCTGTTTATAGGAGTAGTGCTTATAGACAAAACAATAACATTCTAATTTATCTTCTAAATATAACATCGTACAATTCTTACGCCGGATTATTTGAGGATACCGGTCAGTCACGGGTTGGTTATAAAACCTTCACGCTTATTAGTTTGCTCTCCGACTCACCAAGCTGTCGCTTATTCCCTTACTGTACTGCATCATGCACGACGAATTCGTCGATAAGCCCTTTGGATAGATCATTCCGTTGAAATTTCGAGTTCCTCGAAGCTGAATTGTGATAGCATCGGGGTCACATTCGACCTCAATGTTCCTCGAACTAGTTTTCTGTGAACGGTCGTGCGCCTTCAAGGCTGTCTGCAGGAACACTGAAGGCTCTTCAGCTACAGAGCCTTCATCTACGCATAAAGCGGCTCTCACCTAAAGTGCAGCGAAGTTATACAACAACTTGGGTTAGCTTATTTTATAATTATTTTACCTATTTGTTACCTCTAATTATGTGCTTTGAACAGAGCTCAACAGGTTTGCTTTTCTATTCGCACAGAGATCTTATTAGCCACACCTAAAAATACTATACAATTACAGCCATAGATACAACAATCACACATAAAAATCCTATACGACTATAACTATATATATCCTGTACGAACTGTGACGAAGCGGTAACGATGAAGACGGCAATCCAACGTTAATTCTGGGACCAGAGGTCGCATGCTTTTCCGTTTCCGTCTGATCCCTAACTCAAATCGTTTGGGCGCAATAGAAGAAAAATTATTATCGGCACTCAACTCAGCTGGTTAACTTTCGTTCGAAAATATATAGTTGCCCTCACAAACTGCAAGCCGATTTGGAAAGCGACACAGATCTCGTCATGAATTGTTTCAGGGTATTTCCATCGGAGTGGATTGAATAAAAAATGGGTCTCAACTTATCCGATGCACAATATTTTAGAGAGCAGCGATTTGACTTGTCCTTGCTAATTCAAGTTATTAAAAACACACTACGAAATATGAATTATAGTCCCAGTGTGATTGAGCTTGTAATTAAACAAATTCTGTAGCATTACGACTTAACTTCCAGAACCATGACCTTATTTGTCCAGACTCCCAGCAAAAGGCACTCTAGTAAATAATAAAAGAACGGCGTTCAAACCACCCACGAGAAAACGAAGCGAAGGTTACCGGATTGATACTTTCGAATATTAAGTCTTCATTCTCGCGACTAGAACCTGACTTGCCAATTGCAAACGCTCCGCGTTTCTCGGCATGGCCTCGTTTTAGATTTTCTCTGATTTGAGCTACAGATATGAGACGGATATTTGAATGTATGACTAGTTTATATCCCCTATGGATATATTCATTCTTGTATCGTTCATAGCAGCAATAATTTTTGCTAACAGCCACCGTAGCTTCGAACACGATTTCGATATTACGACCCTTTGGAAACAAGTTGTCCATGTTTTTAAAACTACGTACGACAAAATCAAAACTAATACTGGCTGCTGCGCAAAAACTACAAGTTGTATAAAAGTAATGAGGTAAAACTTTTTATACTATCCTAGCATTGATCCCTAACGCAGAACAGTATTTAGAAAATATATAAACGTAATTTCTCGGTTGTACGAAGTAGTATAAGGATATAGTATAAAAATATATTTGCTCTTAATTGAAGTTGTGAAGCTGAAGTGTGACTTTTATATACTGTTCACGAACGAACGAACGAACGAAACGATGTCTTCCTACCTATCAAAAACTACAAAATACAGGCGAGAAGCTCCTAATATTCGAACGACGTTTTTCTTCATAATCACAGGAACTCTTAACTAACCAGCTTTAAACTGCTAAACGCCATATTCACTCCAAAAATATATGAGATGTTCGCCAGATATTCTGCTTAAATCAACTTTATCCTTTGATTAGCGTAGATAATTACTCTTAATCAAAGCAGCAATATTGCCAAAGTCCTCGAAGGTCTTTTGACAGATAGTGCAAAAACTATAATTTGAGTAAGCTCATAGGAAAGTTATTCCTACACTAACCAAAAGCAATCCCTGAATGAATAAGTTATGACGTAATTTTTTTCCTTTCGCTTGCATGAAATGGGAAGGGTTACGTCTCCGTGATAGGTCAGGTATTTACCCGCTGTTCCTACTGGCCCGTTGTGGACAAAATTCGAACTCGGGCGTAAGCGGACCGTTGCGTGCTGGGGGCAGCTGGGGGGAAAGCCTAACTGTGACATCGACTATAAGACTCGAAAGATACAAAGGTACCCTCAAAAACAAGTCGATGGTATTTACGCTCGATATATTTCAATATTATTACCCTTTTGTTTTATCAAAACACAAGTAATTTGGGTGAGTTTCTTAACTTGAGTCACTTTGCAGTGAACCCGTAGTCCGTATCATAGCAAATACGAGATCCCTTGTTTTTATTTTTGCCTTAATAAAGTAATAAAAATAATTGCACGCATACGAATATTCCTTATTCCCAAATAACCAGTGGCAAACTAACACTCTTTTATTATAAACACAGAGCATTTAAGAAGGCTGGTCCTATTATGTTTAACTAAATCATATCACACTGATATTTGAAAGAAGTGATTAACTGTGACTATCCTAGCTCAGGGACTTGAATTACCCGCATATAGGGGTAAATGCCGAGGTCATCTATAATTCAATTATATTGGAATATGTAATTTATAAGAAATTATTTTCATATCGACTCCAAGCATGTTACCTATAGCTGGAGCGTTATTTAGACCCTGGCCTGGTCATTCTTGATAGGCTTTACAATGACTATATGGATACATGAGAACTAGCTTTGATTTTTAAACTAGATTCATTTTTCAAAAAAAAAAAACTTACTTATAATATTCATAAGCGGGCTCTGTAAGCCGAAGACATAACCAAGTTAAATAAGCTAGCGAAAGTTTAAATGAAGGAGCATACCAGAAGGAGGGCTAGCCTCATAATTGATGAATACCTAACCTTGCGATTCACTGGGCATGTTCTTGGTACGTTTTTGATCGTAGCTTTTTTTTTGCACGACATCATCAACACCCACAAAATGTACATAAACAAAACTCCTTATACGAATGCCAACGAGGGTCCGATACCGACTTTTCGCTGGCGATCCACCGGAACGCGTGAGAATTCTCTATTGTGTCGTAATTCTGTATAGTAAAGGACTTTTATGCCATCCATTCAGCAGCGTTATCTGGGCTGGGCAATACCCATAAAAACGTCATAATCGTCTTTTGCGTTTGCCGACGTTTTTCTGTTGTTTCTCTTATTGCTGCTGCTGTGTGTGTATATATATCGGATTCAGTCGAACCGGAGGAAGACTTATCGGAACGTCTAATTGCATTTGAAGGCCACACCGCCGTATATGCCACTTCTCTTATTAGCGGCTGCTTCTGTACGAGAATACTGGCGACTTCGAAGGAACCGTCAAACCCACGTAAGAATTACAACGAATTTATAAAGTGATCGTTTTAAGGACGCCCAGAATTGTGTACGGAGTTGATTTGCCCCGTTTTAGCTAGATTAGCTACTCTGTTGACCAAGTCAATCTGATTGATTAGTAACTGATTGAAGATCGAAATTAGGTCAACTATCTGAGAAACAAATGGTCCAAAGATAAACAAGTCGTAAACCGAAACTAATGGGGTATATTTATGACTGCTTATAGCTTTTTAATAGCTAGGTTACATAGCACAAGCTGTCGGAGGTACTGAACGTATGCACTCACCGTATAAATTATAATATATATATAAGTCTAAGGCAGATTTAGCGATTGGAATTGACTTAGTATAATTAATAACATAGCATATGTCTAACTAATGACGTGAACGTCTTAGTTAAAGTTATATTACTGTGATTAATGTCAACCTTGGGTTACGCAGTTTTATCAAGCAAGTTTAATGTCATTGAAGTTTGTTCTTACCCGGCTGGTTTGTAAAGATAATACTTATTTTGTATGAAACTAATATGATATGGCATAAACATAGGGTCTATAAAAACACGCTTCATAGAGCGAATAGTCTTTCTTCATACTTTAGCCCAAGAAGGCACTTTATTTGAGTGTGCCATAGATAAAAAAGAAAACGGGATTTGCATCGTTTATGTTAATGATGTTATTAAATAAGCGGTAGTTATTGTAAAAAAAAATCAATATTATTCATATTTGCTAAATGTTACACAACGATCGTGAAGATCGTACTTCAACATTTAAGTCTACTACGTGGTAAATATATAGTTCTAGTATGTTAATTAGCCAATTAGCTACAAATACACCTATTTAAACACGCATTTAAAACTGTAAAAACATTCTGCTGTAGGTCAATGTGTGGGACAAGTAAACGGTTCATATAAACAAAGCTCAACGGTAATGTGCATTGAAATATGCTGAAGTCATCAGAAAAAAGTTTTAAGACGCCACGGGTAGTAAATCAGCAGAAAATGCGATTTGTTAGCGCACCCTTTACTCTACACTGTAACATATAAAATGCTTGAAAAAAATATCAAAAATTAATTTTAACAAAAAAAACTTATCCCAAGCAATGGGGTTGCTGCCCATTACTTGATCTTATTATTAGAACAAATTCCTGCCAAGTATCACTTATCGACTCAAACAATAGGCCAGTATGCGTGACTAATAAATATAATGAAATGACAACCTGCTACCATAAATAGACATAAGTACCCATTATATGTAAATTATCAACACAAGTTCGTTTGTAAAAGCTTAAGCCTATTGGCAGCGTTACGCACACTAAAACCTTATTTCTAATGCCCCGATGAGGACTATTTAGATTCATCGCGAGTAAGCGCGTCAACAATATTTGAGCAAGTCGAATGCGACTACATACAGGGATTATATTGGAACTGATTTGAAGCAATAATCTGAGAAAATTTTTGATCACTCAGACCCCATCTAAGACCTCCGTTTATGGATCTGGCCCTCTGGCCATATCGTCGCCGCGCCAAATGTTTTACGATGCGGTAGGGCTTCCATAACTTGTATTCGATTCTGCTAACTAATGCTGATGAAGTAACGTTTGGATCCGAGGTTTACTGCAACTAAACCTCGATCATTAATTACAATCATCTTTATCTACACAGAAGTAGAGTCTGCCATATCTACCACTGACGCAATGCATTCTGGCTAATTTCGTAGATGCAATACCATTATTGCTAGCCGACCAAATGACAGCCACAATAGAATAAGTGTTAAGTAAAAAAACAAACAAATCTTCTTTTCTTATCGTCTTGACTATAAGAATAACAGGTCGATCAAGTTCCATGCCCATTGCCTCATGAGCTTTTTACTTACTAATCAGGATTCGCATTTTTTGCTCAGTGGCGCAGTTCCGCACCTCCCCAGAACAACTGTTCATATTAATAGCACTACTAATAAGCC